GTAATCAGAGAATGATGAGGACTATTAGAGGCAATCTCTTCTTTTCAACGGGGAAATCTGCTGAGTAGTTCTTCAATCAGGTAAACCATTAGAGGCGTGAGTTGCACGCGCTGCCGCACAATGACCTGTAATGGGAGGACCAATGCTCCTACCTAAGTTTTTTTTTGCCACGTCGTTTCTCAATTTCTCCTCTCGTGTACCGACTGCCATCGTATGAGGACCGCAAGTACAACCCGGAAGAGATATGTTTTTCGTCACTGCGCGCATGCAGAACTCGAAGGAAGAATGATGCAGGGCTGTGTATACACAGATGCTCATTATGGTGATGATTCCACGTGCAGTACTTGTACCGATGAGGGAAGTCCTGTCATCGACGAAAATGTTTCTGTTAGCCCGTGAAAGAATCCTTCACTTTCATGGCTATGCCCTCACTGCCATTTATCTGTTGCCAAGTTCTTTCCACCATGACTCCGGTAGGACAGGATTTCTTTTTCTCGCAGTCCCTTTTTCCATCTCCAACCGGCTGCTCATTTTCAAGATGAGTACCCGGCTATGAATCATCGTCGATGGTGCGAAGAAGCCGATTGTTTCGTCGAGCCTCTGGCTGAAAGACTCGAGGAAAGGGGTCGACTCCAGGGCATTGCTGCGAGCAGACGCGTCTCCTTAGGGGTGTAGATTGGCTCGAGAATACGAAGAGGAGGGGGGTGAGTCTGGGAATAAGAGAGAAACCAGGGAGGGAAAGGAGCTGCACCTGTTGCGTGGTGTTGGCGGATCAAGAACCGTTGGCCGTTGAAAAGAGAAGCTCCTGGCCCACATCAGCGACAGGTATTATGTTTTGGATTTTGTTTTCTTCTTCCTCCACTTGTTATTCTACCCGAGAGCGAGAGAGAGAGAGGGGTCTCCTGTCTTGTTTGCTTCCTATTCCCCCTCCCCTCCTCTCCATCTCATCTCGTCTACAGTTCAAGGCCAACTTTACAACCGCCGTAGTAGGGGCTCACGTGACTGCCACCTGCTGAAGCCAAACGCCCTCCGGCGACATGCAACAGCTGAGAGTCCAATGCCCCGTGACGTCGAGCGGGCGCCGTGACGTCATCGTTCACGTCACACCACTGCCCAGTGCCTCGTCAGGCGTGATCAGTTTCCCCAATCCCTCTGGGCCATACTCCTCCCCTCTTTTTCTCTCTCTCTCTTCCAAACCCCAATCTATCGGGCAGCCTCGGGCAGTATTTATACAGGTGCTATAACTCGAGACAGGAGGGATGGAAAAAGGAGAGGGAAAAAGAAATAAAAGATGGCGGCTCTTGCCCAAGGCAATGACCTCTGGCTGAAACCTTCGCCACCACTTATGTCTCGCTGTTCGGTCGTTTCCTTCCGCGATTCTCCATCATCGAGGTCAGGGGAGAGAGAGAGAGAGAGAAGAAAAAAGTCTGGACGATCTTCTCGTCGAATCTTGTGACAAATGGATGTCCCCGAGCAGCTCTTGTTACCTCATCTCACATAAACATTGGCTCATCTACTTCTTTTTCTTTCCCCCCTCTTTTCTGTCCCTCTCTTAAACAGAGGCGTTATCGGGGGTCGAGATCTGAGGAGCAGATGTCTGGCCGCGTCAATTTGTCAAGGGGGGACCCATGCTGGGTTTTCATCATGCACAGACTTCCCTGCAGCGAGGGAGGGGAGATCAAAACTCAAAACCACAACAAGACAATTCTCTTTTTTTTCTTGCCCCCGGGGACCCTCCCGTCCTGAAAGGCTATCGTTCCCTAAACGGGGATTTTTGACATTTGATATTAGCCGAGTTGAAAGCCACCCCTGGTCACGTGGGAGTTCTTCCGTTTCTCTCTATTCTCGATGCACCTGCTTTTGACCTACTTTTTTTTTTCTCTCTCCGTCTTTGGGAATTGGAAATCCGACTAATCAGACAGAGACCCAGCTGTTCTGGAGAAAGGGAGTACGAAAAGAGCAGCGAAGAAAGGTAAACACATGAACGGTCGGGGAAGTGATTCGTTCAAGGACGGGTCTTTGGGTTGATGTGTGTTGTTGTCTCTGGCCAAATAGTCGCCTCTCTGCTTTCCCCCAATGTGCACCCCACGTCACTCCCGAGTATAGATAGATGGATAGATAGACGTCATGTCGAAACGGAGCATCCTTGAACTTCATGCCGTACTGTTTTGGTCCTGTCAGTGACCGAAGAGATGTAATTTGTATGCAGTTTGGAACCTATGTGGGCCGTGTTTACGACCGATCAAGCAGATCACTTTACGAGGAAGACGCGTGGAACTAAGCATCAACTCCCCTTCTCTCTTCTCTTTTCATTTTTTTTTTCCCCTGTATGTTTCTGGCTGTTTTTAACGATCCACTCACAGTTAAACACACATTTGCAATGAAAAAGAAATCCAGGCTTGCACGTGCGTGCTAAACTACCTTGCAAATTGCATCTCCTTCAGTCCTCATGCTTCTTCTGTGGACATAATCAGTCGCAGTGAAGGACAGGAAAGCTCGCGATGCAGAATCACTTTGTCAATATAAACTTCCTATAATTTGTTTTACACATGACTCAGGCTGATGCTCACATACGTTCACACGCACGTGTGAAGTTCACTGTAAAAATTACTTCTAGAACTCTGTTCGTGGATATTTCGTTCCGAGCCGTCCGCACGCCCAAAGCCTTGTTTCCAGACTTTTGTGACCGTGACTTCACACGATTTTGCTTTAAGTCGGACGTGAAGGTTTCCGCGGTTTTATTTTCACAGACCGTGTTTACCAGATCTGGAGGGGAACATTCTCCAAGTATCTCAGACGACCATGGGAACTCACGAATTCGAAAACCGTTTGACATGGAGAGTCTGACTCGTAAAGTCGCTGAAGCGGATCCCCACTACTGTATAACGATTGAGTGGATGGAAGGAGGAAAGAATAAAAAAAAAAAGAGGACTGGTTTGTGACAAAGAAAGACGTAGAATATAAAGGTCAACATCCCGTGGAAGAGAGTGGGGAGGGCACACGTACAAGCAGAGAGAGGGAGAGAGGTCGTTATCAGAGAAAAAGAGCGAGAGAGAGAGAGCACTTGTTATGGGGAGAAAAGGAGAGGCGCCAAGAAGTCTAGGGTTGTCTGGTCCATGGGTCCATGCCCCAAGGGTATCCAGGCAGGCGTACAAGCCCAGGTGCATGAGGGGGGGGCATTCAGGTCACACATATACTATACAGTAGGGGGAACAGAAGAGAGAGGGAAAAAAATTGAGAGGAGGAGGGGTAGTGTAGGGGCCCTCCCCTCGTAAACAGGTCCCTAGGATTCATGGTGATTTATCCCTGTAAACTTAATCCCAACATCTCACTCCTTCTCGTCTCGAATTTCCCACTGAGTTCACGGATCGCCTGGAATAAAGTAGGATAGGACATGATTGGTTCCCAGTACGGTCCAAGATTTTCATCTCGACTGGATGAGGGGCTGGGCCGGGCTGGGCCGGGCTGGGCCGGGCTGTGCTCGGACTTACCTCGAGGGCAAAGGGGTGTTCCAACATCAATCACTCGTAGACGACTTATCGGCTCACAATTAGCCCAATCATTATGTTTGTTTATGTTCCACTCATGTACCGCCGGCGTTAATGCAGCACTCGGTAATTACATGGTACACTCATTACTAGACTCTTTGACCTACAAGCTGAAACGAAGTAGGAAAGAAAATTGGTTCGAGGAAGGTTAATCGTTAGGTAGTTTCCAATTTTTATCCTCAAAGCTTTGTGATTCTTGGACTCTCCTCGATATGTTCTAGTGACTCTTTCTTAACTATATTCTTGGAAATGCATAAGTTCCTCGAAAAACGCAATGCAGCAGACTTTTCTCATCGACGGTAATCAATTCTATATAATTTTCCTCGCTCCTACTTTCTTGTCCCCCCGCCCACCTTAAAAAAAAAAACAATTAAGGATTATTATTGTTATTATTATTTCAATGTATGGTTGCGTTGTCCGGCCCTTTTTAAATTTAAATAATGGTGAACCAAATGGCCTAAAGAGAAATGTCACATTACGCAAGGCAAGGTATTTTTCTTTCCTCATGCGATTAGAACACGGAGTTCTTTGGAATATGCGTATTGCAAGGCGGCCTCTTAAGCACTTGAACAACGTTGTTTTCTCTCTTATTTCCAAGACCGTTCGAGCGTACCGCTACGGGGGAGTCTGGCAGGGAGGGACGGAAAGACGAATGACGTCACAAAAGAGTGCTTGTCACGAGACAGACAGTATAGGTACTGGTACCGCATTCTGCGTCGCTAGCGGACACCGAAGGTGAAGGCCATGTGATCTCTCTCGCGTCCTGGAAGCAATCCAATTACACACCCAGCTTGGCAACAACTCGCACGTGACCATCATCCGTATCCATATTCCTGCAGGTGCGTGAGAGGTCGGTGGGTCTATTTCTCCGTATTTCCTTCTTTCGAGACAGAGTACGATGTGTGTGATCTTCGGGACGGAACATGTGTATAGCTCCGTTTTGATTACGGGTCTTTGGGGGGCGGAAAGGGTTGTGAATTGCCCTGGGCACCTGTGTGAAAGCACGGGGTTGCACCTGCAGCGTCGTGACCATCAAACTCGCCACCCGTAAATGGCCTCGGTAAAAGGAGGGTGGAAAATTAACAAAAGGGGGAAAACACGGGGAAAAACAAATCTCGGGACAGGTTTCGACAAGCACTCGTCGACGATGCTTTCTTTCTTCGTCAGTACCGCCTGCTTCGACTTGTGGTTTCCCCTTTCCCTGACGCTTTTTCTTATTGTCTTTTTTTTTATCTCCTGGACGCAGAGGAGAGAGAGAGAGAGAGAGTGCGCGATTTCGATCAGGTTTACTGGTATAATGATACGGATACACACACACATACACACACACACACATGAACATGCATGCACATGAGAGGGGGGATTGGCTGCGCGGAGACAAATCCTCAGCCTCTGATTGGCTATCGCTTTTCCCGCGCGCTCCCCTTCCCCCCCCCCCCCCCCCCTTCCCAAGCCTAGACCACGCTGGACCCCGTCGTTATGACACTAGCAGCACACGTGCGAGAGAGCAACAGTAGTGCCCCAGCGCCGACGGGCCTAGGGTCTGTCTGACCATCATGGCCTTAACCAATCTGATCATGTACAATGCGGTGCCCATCTTGCCTCCGCGAGATGATACCGGCCCAGTGGTGTTAGACTCCAGTGATATGGTGAGGGACATTACCCTTCTTGGATTCTACGATCTCTTCAGATTTTGGGTGGATGGATTGTCAACACCGAACACACCTAGATCTCCTGGTAAGTTGATGTTTCGTAAATTAAAAACTTGGAATTAGTTTTTGTGCCTTGTCTCATTAACAAATTTCCATGCAATTTCGCTTATCGTTTCGAGATAGAATCACTAATAAGTTTGCTTATTTTCTTTGCAGTGGATACACCAAGTGAAACACCAAGTGGCTCTGCAAATCCGGCCCTGAATCAAGTCTTCACATTTTCGGATGAAGACATTCAAGCGTACAACAACGGGGTAGGGCGGAGGGAGAGGGGACCTCGACGAGAAAAAACTTGGAGAGGGAGGAAGGTCCGCGTGAGACGAAGAACCGGTGTGTTGAAGAAAAGAAGTGTTGTAGTGGATCATCACCCCGTGGACCTGGATGAAATCCTCCGTCGTGAGGATTCGGACACGAGTCACGTGAAGGACAGTCAGCATGCAGTGGCCCAGTGCTTCACACCCGGTTATAAGCCTGTGCCCGTTCCATCTCCTCTCCCTTCGACCGATTGGAGAGACGTGGGCCGAGATCTTAAGATCATTGCCGATGACTTCAAACAGAGGCATGATGTCCCTTCGTCCCTCACGGTGAGTTTCTCATTTCGTCTTCAACGTGTCAATATTTGATACCCGGGAACGTGGCCGTAAGACAGGTTCTAGACCTGGAGGGCATCGGTTATGTAAAGAAACGGGACTACAGTATGGTGTTTACCTCTTTGATGACTCAGCAGTCTCAAGCCGTCCTTTAGCCTCGGGTGTCGTGTGATTCATGATAAAGATCCTCGCGGTGAAACATCGAAGTCATTATTCGTTCTCGGCGACCTGGATTGATTGAGATGGATCTGGTGTTTAGCCGAGGCGCATTAGCCTTTGCAATGCTAGGAAAGCAACCGATTATCGCTAACCCAGTGGGATTATTTGCTGTAACCGTAACATCGACCTCGTTAGGACTAGCTGTACTTCATATTCCTGTCAGTTCTTTTGCGGTTTGGTTTCGTGAAGCTACTTCTAACCTCATTGCGAGGTTTCTGAGAAAAAATTGATTGCAATCTGAATGGCTTCGAGTGTGACGAGAGTGATAAGTTATTTCTTGTTGTTATAGGAAGTGGGGATGAGGAGGACCATGTCTTCGATATGGTTTCAAGTGATCCGGTTTGTCTGCCAATTGGTTTGGAAGAAGATCCGAGACAAGTGTCTCCCTTGAAACCATGCCTCATGCACATTCGATCCCCGTTATCTCGGGGACTCGATCACTTCAAGGGCACCATCAAGTTCAACGATATCGGCATTCAGTATACGCTGCCGCCTCTCGCTTTTTCTGTCTTCGAGCTTTGATTATTTTTCAGCATGAAATTTGCGATCGATATCGTCTCGGCCTCATTGATTATGGCCACTTAGATCGTAGGAAAAACCTTTTTGTGTTTCTTGATTGCCACCGTTGATCTCAGTACTCGTGAAGATTCTCCATGTATTTGGTTCAGAATTATAATTCTTTTTTCATTACGTGATTGAACGTGTGAGCGCGTGAGGGTGTACATAAGAAGAAGTCAGAGTTCGCCAGAACTGCGGAATGGCTTTCGAATGATCTCAGTTTTCTTTTTTGTTTGGTGGGAGGCGATAGAAAGAAATCTAAGCCATTTTCCACAGAACGGAAATCAGAATCTGTGATCTCCTACGTTGTTTCCACTACGACTATAACAATCTGATTATTTTTTTTTTTGAGGGAAGATAAGAGGAGGGACTTCCTCGTATCGGGTGTTAACAGGGCATTACGTCATCGAGGTCAGTCGTCACTTTTTCCTCTTCCCTGTTGAGCCAAAGATTTTTCTTCTTTTTGTCATCTTGCTCACGAAGAGGAAGTTCCTCCTCCGCTCATTAGCTGCTCATTGTGATCATGGAACGAAGTCTTTCGATCAGAGAGGGAATTTTCTTATTAAGAAATCAGAGGGGTGTCACAATAGAGAGCTCAGCCAGCATCGTACAAATCCACATTGGTCTCAATCGCCCACAAAAACTGCCTATTACTGCCTTTTAGCAGGACCCGAAGACTCCAAAATTTATTGCTCAACTAGTCATTGGTTGCATTGGAAGCGAGAGCAATTGGGAGGCAGAATTCGTGTGATGATGGGTGTTTTGCTCTTGTGACATTTGTCTTTGTCCTCTCTCAATCTTGTACATAAAAGATCTGTTTCTCTCTCTCTCTCTCTCTGTCTCTGTCTCTGTCTTGGTACTGGCATGAAAAGGAGCAGTGATGATTTTCTCTCTCTCTTTCTTTCGTGGCTAAAGATAAAGAAGGCCTCCCGTGCCTTAACAAGTGATGCTGAAACCCAGTCCTGTGTACTCAATCCACGTGTGCCATGTCTGTGTTTTTTTCGCTCTCTCTCGCTCCTGCTGCCCCCTCCGTACCCGATGTCTTTCATTTTGTAAGTAGAAATTAGAATTTGTATACCACTTGATATATATGCAATAAAATTTCCTACATGGGCTTGACGACGGACTTTGATTTCGTACGACGTCTCGTGAAGTTTCGTCTGCCTGGATGAGAACAGGAGAAAACCTGTTCGGATGAAGAAAAAAAACTCAACATATCCGGGAGTCAATGACATTGACGGTGTACAGTGAGTCAGTCGTCTTGTATAAGATATCGTCTTGGAACACACACAGTCTTACGAAGCTTGATATCCTTAATAAGTTAACGACTGAAACCATCAAAGAAAATGAACAAAAATCATTATGAACCTTAGTTGCTTACTTTCAATGGAAAAGCTTGAGGCGCGCCTGGATGTCTTACAAAAGCCACCATATTATTACTTCCACTCAAATGCGGTCAACTCGAGATAAGTTTGATTCTGAAAAGTCATCCGATAGTAAATTTGTGCTAAAATTACATTGAAATATAAAT